CGTTGGCTGCGTTGCTTCATAGAATGTTATTATAGTGTTAGGGGAGGGGCCATGATCGGTGGCTCCAGTGCGTCATCGACAGTTATTATAGTGTTAGGGGAGGGGCCATGCTCGGTGTCTCCAGTGCGTCATCGACAGTTATTATAATGTTAGGGGAGGGGCCATGCTCGGTGGCTCCGGTGCGTCATTGACAGTTATTATAGTGTTAGGGGAGAGGCCATGATATCGGTGGCTCCAGTGCGTCATCGACAGTTATTATAGTGTTAGGGGAGGGGCCATGATCGGTGGCTCCAGTGCATCATTGAGCCACCGTTTTAGCCCCGCCCAAAAAAAATCCTGAAAACAGAATTGGTGAAAAACTGTTTAACGGTCTAACTCCACTATTCAGTACTACAGAATTCACAATCTTTGTAATGTGTTTCAGCAATACATTTGTAACATTTATAATGCGTTTAGAAACAATTGTCAGAATTGACTTTACAGGGATTTTAATATAATTTTTTATAAAATTGTAATTTAAAAAAAACAAATTTATAAGTTAGTTTTCATTTCTATTTTTAAATTATCCATGGAATTTAGTGCAGTTTTTGTTCACTATATCATTGTTAGCTGTAGCTTAGTTTTAGTATTTCCAGCATTTACTAGTTTAAATTTATTCAATTTAGTTTTTATTTATAGTTTTGGTATTTATTTAGTATTTAGTAATTATAGTTTTAGTATTTAAAAGCCTTCAAAAGTATTACACTACTGTTCAAAATGTTGGGTCAATAAGGTTTTATTTTTAATGTTTTTGAAAGAAGTCTCTAATGCTCACCAAGGATGCAGTAACTGTGTAATAGTCTTACAATATAAAATACGTTTTGTATTTTATAATTTTGTGGAAAGCATGATATATATTTTTTTTTCAGAATTCTTTAATAAATAGAAAGTTCAAAAGAACACAATTTCATTGAAATAAAAATATAAAAGTCTTTACTGTCACTTTTGATCAATTTAATGCATCCTTGCTAAAAAAAATTATTTCAAATAAAAAAATAAATAATTACTAACCCCTAACTTTTGTACATTAGTGTAAACTAAACTAGCATTATTAAATAATTAAAATTTTCAGTCTAATGTTATTGCTATATAGAGACAGTATCATGTTTAATGCAGATGGCATTTATAATATACATACCATCTATCAAATATAAACATTTATTTATATTTTATAGCTCTTTTTTATTTCACTTGTGTTAGTTTTGGAGTCATGAAAATGTATTTAGTTTAGCCCGTTTTTCACAGCCAGTTTTTATTTTTATTCCAGTTGGCAAAATCATTTTAATTTAGCTTTAGTTTTCATGATATTGACACTGATTCCAGTGCAGAATAACTTACCCAGTGAAATCTGCTGAGTACATGCCGTAGTCAAACACATAGGCTCTTGTGACCTGGCAGAAACAGAGATATCCCAGCGTAACCACAAAGCAGTATCTATGGAGAAGAATGCAAAAGATGGGAAAACTTAGAAACAGTGAATCCGGAAACAAAAAAGATGTTGTTTGGTACAAAATACCACATATTACTCCATTTCAGCAGTATGTATATTGTGGGTACAATGCAAATGTAATGTATGCAAAATGTGCAGTATACAACACACTGTGTGGAATACTGTCTCCCACAATTCAATGCACTGAACCTGACTTTCCATTTCCTGCATGACAAATGACTAGTGAAACGTCTGCTTGCTCGTGCCCATCTGTTTTTAACTCGCATGCACTTTTTGCACGATGCAATTTATAAAATAAAAATTATGTTTTTGTAGACTTTTCCAGTCTTGAGTGGATCAGTGTACGGTTAGCCACTCTCTTGTTCATTTTCAAGTATCCCATTGGCTCTACGCACCTGCAGTAAAAGGACATTTTTTTCCTGTTTGGAGTGCTACAATTTTCTCAAGTTTGACAAATAACTAGTCAAATAATAAATTATATATAATTATGAAATTATACATTCTAAAAAAAAAATATATATATATGTCCACTTCGCAGGGCACTTACGGTCACATAAGACAATGCTTGAATGCTGCTGCCTGAACAAGAGTCCTCCTTACTGAAGTTCAAAGTGTCACTATCTTGTGAACGCGCTGGCGGATCTCCACCAAATTCGGGGGATCCCTTCAGCTCAAGGAGCCCTCTCGATCGCCACCCTCCGCACGTCGGTAGCCCCCGGGATTACTTGATCGGTCGGTACCGAACCACGAATTTATCCACCCGTAACTCACAAACCCCGGGCAGTATGTATATTGTGGGTACAATGCAAATGTAATGTATGCAAAATGTGCAGTATACAACACACTGTGTGGAATACTGTCTCCCACAATTCAATGCACTGAACCTGACTTTCCATTTCCTGCATGACAAATGACTAGTGAAACGTCTGCTTGCTCGTGCCCATCTGTTTTTAACTCGCATGCACTTTTTGCACGATGCAATTTATAAAATAAAAATTATGTTTTTGTAGACTTTTCCAGTCTTGAGTGGATCAGTGTACGGTTAGCCACTCTCTTGTTCATTTTCAAGTATCCCATTGGCTCTACGCACCTGCAGTAAAAGGACATTTTTTTCCTGTTTGGAGTGCTACAATTTTCTCAAGTTTGACAAATAACTAGTCAAATAATAAATTATATATAATTATGAAATTATAAAAGCGTTTCATCCAGGTCGCCAGTAGCAAACAATGGAGCGCGCGCAGCTGGACAAACTAAGTAATTACACCATTTCAAGCATTTTATCTGCGTTATATGTTCTGTAAAAAAAATTTCATATCGGCGGCATATTCGCCGATACCAATATATCGGCGACAAGCTCACATCGGCCGATAATATCGGCAAAACGATATATCGGTCGGGGTCTAATATATATATTATATAAAATATATATATATATATATATAACATGTTCAGGACAAACAAGGGATCCATGAACAACTACCACAAAATAAAAAAAAATAAAATAAAAACAAATAAAAAAAACAGCTGTGGATCATCCAGGTAACAACACAGTATTAAGAATCATATTTATACATACATATATATATGTGTGTGTGTGTGTGTGTGTGTGTGTGTGTGTATTTCATCAGTATGTTTTCTCTTTGATGGTTAATTTAAATGCAGGAAGAAATGTTAATTATCCCCACAAACAAATGTAGCAAGAGGCACCACCTATCTTAAAATAGCCCGAGCCCCCACTTTGTAGGAAATAGCTCACATTTGATATCTGGTATTATACATGATCATTTATGTGAGCTATTTGCATACTACAATAAATTTATGAGTGGAGAGAGAGTGATCAAGGCTGCTCTGTTACATCGTTGCCTAAAGCAGCATGTTAGAACAACACTATCAAGGCTCGAGCCATTATTTCAACTCGGCTTATTAATTTCCTCCCACAATCCGCATATTAACCATCAAAAAGAAGATTACAGCCACTAAAAGTTCTGAATCAAAAATTGTCAAGTCCCCTGATTCCTCACTAGGCAATAGTGGGCAAATTCTTGGCCTTCTAGTTTCAGTCCTTGCCTCTAACAAAGCTGGTTTAACATGCCTACAGTCCCACTCGTAGTATTTAGAGGCAGTGCCTGCTCCGTCTCAACACTAGGCCCTTCATCAGGGCTATGAGTAACACTGTGTGTACTATGAAGACCTTCTTCTGTTCAAGCGTTCTGTAGGATGATTGTGTGATGTTTTTTTCTGGTTGTACAAGGAACATTGTACAGTTAGGAGATGGACTGTGATGCAGAATGGTAGTGGGTCAGTCAGTTTACTTAAAGGGGACATATGCCTCACAAATCCAAAGTATACTAAAAATGGAAATTTAAAGGGATAGTTACCCAAAAATGAAAATTACCCTATGATTTACTCACCCTCAAGCCTTCCTAGGTGTATATGACTTACTTCTTTCAGATGAATATGTAAGCTCCGGGGAGAAGAAAGTCATATTCACCTAGGATGGCTTGAGGATGAGTAAATCATGGGGTAATTTTCATTTTTGGGTGAACCTATGGCTTTAAGTAGGTTTTCAAATTGTGCATCCTTGAATGTTTTTTTTTCCTGATAATATTGCCCACAACCTCAAAACAAAATAGTGGTTCTCCCCTTTGGACTTGTTCAGTAATGAATTCCAAGGTAATGGATGTAAATTATAACGCTAACATGCACACACAAACAGTACATGACAAGGGGCTCTGTGGTATCAACATGATGTGTAGGATGATGCGTAGGATGTCTCAACACTGGTACACTGTTTTAATGCATGCACAAAATTATGTAAATTCAGATGTTGTCTAAACTGTCATTCAGACATGTATTCGTATTGATGTTAGAAACATAAATATACAATACTAAAAATATTAGATTACTAACTTGGCATACCATGATAAATAGCATCGACTGACTTCCTCAAACCAGCGTAGATTAATTCAAAACAGAGGTCATTACATACAGAGGTCTTAAAGGTACAGTAGCCAAAACAGCTTGTTTAAAAGAATACAGAGAGGGTGGAAAATGTTCATGTCACTGTTTTAGGTGCAAACATACTTGACAAACATTATGGATAAAAAAGAACATGAAATGTGATTAGTGAATGTGTTTAAAATCTACTACATTGGCCAGGATGTTAACAGTCAGAAAAATGTTATGTAACAAAACAAAGGGTGAGAATGATGTAGGATTTAGCTTTACGTCTCTATGTAGTCATTTCCCATAGTGAGCGCTGTCAATAGTAATCATGGAGACAGGACAACCACAGCAACAATCCAGAAACAAATATACAGTGAGTAGCTGCCAGTAATTATATCAAAACTGATGCCAAAAAAGTGATCTGTGCACACAGATCTTTTTCATAATCACACTGGCTTTCAGCCAAAAAAACAAAACAAAGGAAAAAAACACAACAAACAAAACAAAACAAAAACACTTTATACTTAAATTAAAAAATATATTTCATTAAAAAATACATTTTAAATAAATATACACAGAAAATCTACAAGAAATCCATCTCTTCCCCATACCGTCTTTGCTCTGATATTGTGCTTTTCAAGAACTCACATACTACATTAGCTTTTCTATAAATATACATTTACACTATTCATCTCTCATAAGACAGACAAGAGCTCCAGTGACCCGTGATGAGGGCAGCTCTCTCTCTCTCACACACACACAAACACACACTCTTTCTCTCCTGGTTCTATTTTCATTTGTCAATAACCGCCGCACACAGTCTCAAGATGATAATTTATATAGGTGAGACACAGAGGTGAGGTGTTATAAGCAGCTGTTAGATGGGGTCTCGTCTACACCATAAAACCCTTCTCTCACATGCTTGAGTGAAAACATATTAAAGCAATAAATCACATCATAAAATTGTCATTTTTAATGAAATGGGGGACAGTCACACCATTGTGCAATAGAACAAGACCTGAGAGTACAACCTTCCGCTAAATCTTTTTAACTCCCCGAGCAGAAGTTAACGGCACGCAGTTTTAGAGGGTGGTGTTGTGTTGTGTATGATTTCAGGTATTTCACATGGGACTGAACCTGAAATCAGGACATCTGTTTAAACGTTTACCATACTCCATTTAATCTTTATAGAGTCCTGAAGTTTCCTGAACTTCACAGTGATGCTCACAGAAACAAGCTGTCAAGAAATACACATCCATAAGAGCTCTAAAGGTACATTCACACCTACAGTAATTTAATCGCTGAAGGTCGCCAAGTTGCTGTATGTGCTTTAAAGTTGTTCTCTAGTAGGAGTTTATGCTGGTCCAACTCTGTCAGGAGGCAGATCACGTGAAAGTCACTGTGTGCTATCTTACTGGCCGTCTCCGTATTGCTATCCCTGCTGAGCATTGTTGTAACGCCAACCAATGTCAATCGCATGCGATGTTTAACGCGCATCTTGTCAGTAAAGCCGCTTCTGTAATCAGCGGTAAATCTCCATCACGTGCGGGCTTTCACATTGAGTAGCATTTACTACACAGAGCCGTTGTTCACCAACAAGCTGCGCAAAAAATTGCGCGATTATGAACGTGGTTTTGCGCAGCTTGCCAGTGAACAACGGCTCTGTGTAGTTAATGCTGCTCAATGTGAAAGCCCGCACGTGATGGAGATTTACCGCTGATTAAAGAACCGGCTTTACTGACAAGATGCGCGTTAAACATCGCATGCGATTTATCGTGCAGCCCTTGTTATTATGAATCCAAGCATTCAATGTTGGCTATAAGGCCAGAAAAAGGACAAAGTATTTTGTATAATGAAGTGTTTGCATGATCACTTCAGTAGCTAATCTATGCCAGTTTTACTGGCAGTCTGACTTAATGACTCCAGGTAATAAACCAGTTACGTAATATAAACCTCTCAAAAGAGATCCTTATGCCCTTTCTGCAAACACACACAAACATATCTTGCATTCTTTATCGGTTTTCCACCCCTGTTTTTCAATTTCCCTTCATGCTTTGCTTGCCCTCTCATCTCCCCTGAGCAGTGGAGCATGGCATCACTCTATTACTGACTGATCGTCTCCTGGAGTTTCAAAAGGTCTGTTTTGTAGCACTGCATCCCTAATGCTCTCGCTCTCGCTCTCCCTGTCTCACTGCAGGGAACCGGGCAAGTCTATGTCTCTATCACAAGTTCATCTTATCAGTCTTCAACAGAATAGAAGTTGCTGCTTTTTAGTTTTTTAGAAGAAAACAACAATCAGCCAAGAGAAAGAAAAAGTGACTCATTTTTAATAATTGGTGCAAACTACATATTACTGTGACCTGACTGTCACACCCAGTATGAAGTGTTCACAGTTCAAAAAGTGTTGTTTCAAAGTCTATTTTGTCTAGTTCAGTAATCAAAATTCCAGTAGGTTAAAGGGTTGTTCTGAACTCAGTTCATCAGATTGTAAAAACATATCACAAACCATTCAGGAGTTTGCCTTTACTGTTCTAGGAGTTTGCTATACATAAATCATACTTTGCGGATAGTTATGAAAAAACAGCAGCTGTGGTTGCCAGAAATTCACCTAGACAGACAGTCGGACGGACGGACGGACGGACGGACGGACGGACAGATAGATAGATAGATAGAAGAAATATGGCAACACTGAGTATGTTTACATGGACATAAGTAATCTGATTATTTACCTTATTCTGAATAAGACAATATTATGATTAAGGTGTTTACATGAGTTGCTTTTAGAATATTCCTTTCATGTTCCCGTTTTAGATGTTATAGTACGTAGATCGATAGGAATACTCCACATATCTTAATTCAATTTGTGTTTACTTCGAGTATGACTTTAGCTGGATTAAGGTAATAGAAAATCTCTGTTTACACGATAGATTCTTAATCAGAGTATTGTCTTAATCGTGTTAATATCGGATTATTGTTGTCCATGTAAACATACTCAATGATATGGGATGGCATATTGCTGCCTGTACAACTACCAACTAAATCATACAAAATAGAGTATACAGTCAAAATACAGTCATGTGTCATGCAGAGACTTCTGGGAATGTCCTTTCACTGTTTTTCCCCATTATAAGGTAATTCATGGTTTTTACTTGCAAAAACCATAGATATGGCATTGTTTTAGGGTAAAATGACATATAATGCAATGGTTTTACAGTTTTACACCATATATGGTAACTTAGTTAACCAATTAACAAGTTTTTATTGTAGGTTTTCATTTTTTGTTCTGTAAATACTACAAACATTTTTTTACAGTGTATGTCATGTTATTTATTTTATTTCTTTTTAGTATCCTTGCACAAAAAATGTGATTTATGGCTTTATGTTCATGACATAAATTGATAAATTGACAGTAAATCCATATAGACATGTTTGGTAAGTAGAATGCATCGATATTAAAATTCTGGCCAATGCCGATAAGCAGATATTAAAAATAAAATTCTATACTATTGTGTTTAAATCAAAACACACACACAAAACACTAAAATTGCACCACATTATAATGTACAGTATGAGATTTTCTAAAGATTATCGCTTAACATTTAACAGTGTTATTAAATTACCAGTGTTTAAAAACAATAGTTCTACATGAGCATTAGATGATTTGGTTTTTTAATGACGAGATTAATTTTTTTCAGAGGTGGTAAACGTACATTGAACTCTTCCTCTACGCACTACACCTGCTCTGTGTGTTTAGTACACGTGGAGTTAAAACTCCTTGTCTGATAATTATGCAGTTATGCAAACATCTGGACAGGAGGCCGACAGTTAACTTGTCATCATGACCTTTTCAACGAGCCAAAGTTTACAAAACATGCTGGCAGGACTTCTGACTGGAAGTTCTGATGTATGTGCCAAGGTCAGGTGACCTAGCACAGATGACCTACACTTATCTAAATGTCTGGAATTTTATGATATATAATGAAATTGCATTATTCCTTGTGTTAGTATGCACTCGTATTGTGTTAGTATGCACTTGTGTAGGTTGTTGGTGTTAATAGCAATCACTATCGAGCACTGGTTATTTTTGGTACCGCCCTGAGCAGCAGTGAACATCCATTCATCTGACCCCAGATCAGAGGGAGCCGTCACTCAGCACACGACTTATGGAAGCAATGATGAAAACAGACGCTCCCTCGTTCCCCGGGGCTGATAACTGATAAGAATGAAATGGATGGCTGAGAGTGGTGTGGATTATTATTCAACAAGCCAATCTTAGGGCTAGATGAATAACTCGGGCATATGGTGAACTGGATGGCAGTAGCTTGTTGAGAACTCTGGAACATGTTCCAATGTCATAACACATTTTTGATTTGCCATAAGGTTGTTCTTGTTACTGGAAGCAGGGCGGATTGATGGTGCAGAGTAGGGATGCACCGATACCGATACTGGTATCGGTATCGGGCCCGATACTGGTCTCCTGTACTCGTACTCGTACTCGTTAAAATGCCCCGATACGAAACGCCGATACCACACAGCATGTGTTAAGCCATACATACTCTTGGTTTCTGTACCCAATATTTAAAAAATGTACAAATGCAATAAAAATATCGGTATCGGTACTCGGTATCCGCAAGTACCAAAAATAAAAGTATCGTATCGGGCGAGTACTGGAAAAAGTGGTATCGGTGCATCCCTAGTACAGAGGATTGTGAGGTCGGTACTCACTTGTGCATGTGTTCTACACCTGTGAAGATCATAATGCCGTAAGCAAGACCGCTCTGTACCAGAAAGTGTAAGGCATACCTGAAATGAAGCACAAGGAGAAGAGGATACCAATGAAAGGAGTACACAACTTTATTAGACTGTGAAACAAGACTGTCATTTTGAGCAGGAGAGAAATGTGTTGCTGAATATGTTAAGATAGACAATTCCATGTATTTCATATACAAAAATGTATTTCATTTTTTAAAACTTGTTTTTATTTAATACTTTCTGTCCATGAAAATTATCTATGACTGTATGTGTATAAAAAAAATCCTCATTGATCCTCAATGAATTATCTTGATATTTTAATCATGACCAGGGTTATTAATTGAAACTAAAACTAATACTAAATTAATTAAAAACTATATAGGCATAAAAAATTTTTTGACAAGAACACACAATAAAATTACTAAAACTTTAACAAAATGAAAACAGAAAATATAAAAATTAAAGCTAATTGAAATATTAATAAAAACTATAATAGTATCTCAATTACTGGTCATTTACTCAATTACAATATACTGGTCATGATTATAGATTTTTTTTTTTACTGATTATATTATATTATATCATATCATATTATATAATATTATAAATCAATTTTTTTTATTCAATAAAAATATATTTGACTTTGCAGAGAGATATACAGATGATTATTTAATTAGGGGCGCTTTTAACAACTTCTAATCTTAAATTTTTTTTTTAAAAATCAATTAATTTGAACAATATTTCTATATTAAATATTTTGCATTTCCATGAATAAAAATCTGACTGTGCTTTTGATAAAACCTCAAGTGGATATGTGTATAAATTTATGTTATATAATTACATATTTAATACTTTAAAGACATAAAATACATGGACTGATCATCCATCCAAGAGTGTTTCCCTGCCTAAGCCTGAGACACTGGGAAGCCGTTTGGAAAATGGATGGATGGAAAATACATATGCTGAAGTTGCTGAAGAAAGATGTGGGGGGACTAGATTTCATCCATCTGAAATTGTCTGGATTGTGAAAGAGCTATCTTAGCCATTTGTCTGCACTGCCTATGTGATGCCAAAAAGGAAATTTGTTGAGGGGTGGAGCAAGCTATTGCATTTTGATGAGAGATTATGAAGCTTTTTCTTCTGTCCAAAAAAAATGCGCTGATGAATCCCACACAGTAAAACCAGGAACACACATTTTGAAAGTTAAATGAGCTCAATTTGGATTTGATGTTGACCGAGAGCAAACAAATGTCTTGGTGAAGTCTCTGCTGGACAGAGAGGGGTACACAAACTCTGAGTATGCAATGATAGCGCATCACATTAGAACAGCTGAGGGGAAATCCCCTCACAAGCTGCCACACAACATTTGCTTGATACACGACATTCATAAAATTAATTTGGTAGTAACAGATGATACTTCACTCACAATTTGGTTGTATCACCATAAATGCATTCAAAAGGGCATATTCCACGACATTAGAATCTGCTATATCTTGGGCAACTTCACTGTTTAGAGGTCTTGCTTCTTGCTGTCATGTTTATTGCATAATGACTTCTTGTGCGATTTGGGTGGACCGACCTCTGCTCAGAGAGCTGCAATAGACCGCTCCGTATGGTTAGAGTTTTTTTTAATAAGTATCAGTTTAAGCATGACTCCCACTGATGCAATTTCTCACATTTTAACAACCTTGTGATGAAAAAAAAAAACAATGTGTGATGTGGTTATTATGTAATTCGGTCGGCCTTTATTTTAGTTAAAGAAATGTTGAAACACATAAGGAGTGTCAAAAAGCTGAAACTACTGGTGAAAGTGCTTTTACTTAGCATTTTTTAAGTTATTACAAAAATGTGTCATTGCTAATTATTTTATCAGTACAAAAATATGTGAAAATGTATTTGTTTCAGTAGTATTTTGTTTCTCTTTTGCTTTAAGGCAAGACACCACAGGTGAATAGGGTATAATGTTAACTAATAGATATCCAGTTGTTCAATCGCAGTACAATAAGGCAACTGTTTTGTATTACTGTTTTCTGAAATGTTATGTTAAAATACGCAAATAAGACATTATCTAATTAAATGTGCTCTAATTTGCAGACATTTCCAGAACGGAAATCTAAACATTGGATAAAGCCAGGTTCAAAATTCTTGTTTCATTTTATTGACATACAGAGTTCAATGTTTTTACAGAGGGGATTTTGAATATCTCTTTTTTTTTATCATTCCATTAATAAAAAAATATCAGTCAGGAAAAAACTACTTTCACCATGTTTTCACTATGGTCCTTTTGATTCCACTTTGTGTTCCTCATACTGTAGGCAGAATCAAATATTTGAAAGGCTTTGGAAAACATCAAGCTATTAAAGATCACATTGAAAATCCGAAACAGCACCAATGCATTTATCTGATAACAGGTTATCTTATTAACTAACGACTTACACACTAATTCAAGTTCAACCAACAAGCAGCAAGTAAGTATTGATAAAGAGGCTTACAAACTGCTCCATCAGAGCATCTCTCAGTTTCCACCAGTGGACAGCGTAGCTGCTGAGGAGACTCTGGTCTTCTGCCAGCACTCCAAAGCCTCATTATAAATTGAATGGCTCGCTAACCGGCTATCAATAAATAACCCTGCAATGGATCAATATGGTAGACCTGAGATACATGAGGGATGAAGCAGACAAACACTCACCAGCCAAAGCAGAAGAGGGCCAAGTAGAAGCCCAGGAGGGTGGCGACTACATGCCGGATGAAGGGACTCGTCTTGCTAGGGTGCAGGTAGAGTCGGAACCAGAAGGCCGTGACCAGGGCGAAGAGCTGGCATACCACAAAGTTCACCTAATGGGAGAGATATAAGGTTAATTTTACACTGATCAAGAGGAAAGGTCAGAAAGCAATAATTTTTTAGTTAAACTCAACTTAGAACCAAATAAATAAGAAAGGTTAAAAATCTAAACTAATCTCCAATGTAATCTTCAAATGGAAGTCTTCCAGCACATTGAATGTTAACTGCTGACACTAACACAAGACAAATGCATTTGCGAAGAGGATAATGTCAGAGGACAAGAAGAGACAATTGACTGCCATTCAAAAATGGCTGTGTATTCTGAAATTAATTTATACACTATATAACAAAAAAGCACTTTCACAATCCCTTGTGTACTTCTCCTCTTTTGCAAGACACCATTTCCATTGAAATCAATGGCTTCAAAGAATTATCTGATGCTACAGGAACTTGTATACGTTTGGAATTTATAACACGAAACTTAGCATCATGATGGACGACCAGATTTTTAAACACCCAACCGCCTTGCAAAACAAATTCAAAGTGATAAGAAGAGAGGCTTGTGCTCACAAACCCATGAAAAGTGTTTCATTTTACTTGACGTCAATGTTTACTGTACAAAGTCATGTCTGGACCTGAACGTTACAGTCTCCTGTGCTTTTAGAGGCTAATCAGATAAAGTATGTACAGTAGGCTGCTCATAGTCTCTCGATTTTACATGTCACTGTAAATAACTGTTTTAAAGGGATAGATCACAAAAAAAAGAAAGAAAGAAAACTGTGATTCTAAACCTGTGTGGTTTTCCTTGTTTCTTAGGTATTTGTCATCACTGTCTTTTAAGTTCCACAGAAGAAAGATAAGTCATCCAGGGTTTTTGTTTGTTTGTTTGTTTTATGTAAAAAAATAAATTAAAAAAAAAGTATTTTATTTTGGTGAATTATAACTCAAGGAGATTTTGGCTCATTTATCACACTCGACATGTGAGGTGAATTCAAGTGCACTGCATTGTGGGATACACTACTGCACATTTTCTGAATGTAGAAGGTCATACAGGTATTGCATGCACACAGAAAATATGCAGAGTGTGCAAAACGTATATACTGCAAAAATAGTATGAGTAATATGGTATTATGCTATTTGGAATAACACCCTCAGCTGGGGAGAAACACAGACACATTACATTTCTCCCTGCTGCTCAGTGGCCTTCTGTCTGACTCTTTTGAGAGAGAGAGTGTGTGTGTGTGTGTGTGTGTGTGTGATAAAGCGTGAGTGAGGTCATCTTTATGTGCCTGCTGCCATGCAGATGAGCTCCAGCTCAACAAAGAAACAATCAGTCACTAGCTTAAAATAACTCTGACTTCCTGACTCTGCGCTGCTTTATTTATCTTTCACTCTCCATTAATCTTATTCTAGTTTAGTTTACTCATTAGATTTTATATGACAGGGACAAAGCATGTCCATTACAATAAGCGCAGCCCATCTTGTCTCAACTCTACTTGAAATAAGGATGGACTTGAGCCCTCAAGCACTTTGAAAACAGAGTGACTTGTTTTTTTTTACTTTTAAATATTTTTACACTGGTAATTGATTATGCCGCTTATTTTGTTGGCAATACCTTGTAGCAAGATTCACGCAAGGATGTCTACAATTGCTGAAGAAAGCTACATGTTAGCATTTATCTCATTCTATGTTGAATTTTGTTTTTAAAAAAAGACACCACAGAGTGTGATGTCATATGACAATAAGTCTAGTGTAACTGCAGCTTAATAATGTAATGAGATCACAAATGTGTGTTTATAGAGTATTTTACAATGGCTTTGTACATGGCTTAGCCAATCAGAATCAAGGACTGGAATTATCCAATTTATAATACATATAACATTATATCACTGAAGCTAAAAATGGTCCAATTAAACATTTAATTCCCTTTTTGTGTACAGTTAGCCTTTTCTTAGCAAGCTAACAGTTTAACCTTCTAAATTACATATTTTATACCATCTAAACTAAAAATAATAAAATATTGTATGTTTTCAGTAAGCCTTCGTTTAGCAAGGTAACAGTTTAGCCTAGCTTAGCCTTTTAAATGGCTTGCTTCGCCTACTAGCTTGGCACATTGGTTAAGAAAAGCTCTTTTGATTAGCTAGACAAGACATGACGATAAAACGATAAATTTTTCAGACATTGAAAACGGCGGATAGTAGTCATGGATGACAACTGAAGTCATTCTATCACATCTTGTCCCAAATTCCTAGTACAGAAAAACTGACTAGAATGCCCATCTCTATTCTAAAATGTCAGAAAATATGCTAGAAAGATGACAATAGCTTTCCGTTTAGCATAAAACCTTGGGGAATGTTATTGAAGCTTCAATCTGAAGGCTTTTGGTTTGTTTTCGCTGATCTATTTCTGTTATTCCCTGCAGACACCTCTCATCTCCTCTGTCCCCTTCAGGTGGTTGTCACGTTCATTTTGGATCTCGCGGTCTGAGATGTTTCAACTGCTGGAAACATGTCCTGCCTCAACGAGAAACCTTGCGCATCTCCTTAACGTTACAGGCGGCTATACTGTACAGAGGCAGCCATTGTTTCCCATTCTGCACAAACAGGTCAACAGTGGGCCATACAATAGCTCATTGGCTGCTTCTTTGTATCCCCCACGCATTCTGTATCACAGGAAGTATTGTTTTTGGCAGGATAAATCTGTACACACACACGCACAACAGTAAGTAATTGTGGTCAAGCAGATTTATAGAGATGATGTCACTGTGCCATTTTATATCACTAAGGGCTCTCTCACGAGTGACCTATATCGAGCGGCGCTTGTGGTCACTTTAGAGCCATTAAAAAGAACCACAGAATTACACTCAATTAATCTGGGACATTAAACCCTAATTAAACATAACCTATCCTTGCTCTAAGATTCACACGGTTTGGAAACAGAGCAACACTTGCAAGACAATCTTTCTCAAGTTTTACCAATCAGGTCGGGAAAACAAAAACGAGTCCTGAACTAGCAAATGAGCATATATGCATCACCTAAAAGCAATACCTCATGTTTACCACATTTTCATCTGTTCTCACTCCCTTAAAGTAGTGGTCAGTCATTTTTACCAATTAAAAAGTTTGATATATTAACAACTTTTTAAATTATTTTTTCATTCATGTGTACCCTCACATTGTCATAAAACTGCACAGTGACACGAAGGTTGAGGATCCAAGTGCAGTGTTTATTAATGGCAAAGGCGTAATCCAGAAGCAGGCAGAAGGTCATACACACGGGTAATCAATGGACCCTTTTCACAAGACTGTGATGACGCGTTTAACAGCCATCAGCATCGTAAATCCTCGAAAGTCTTTCATATTTGTATTTTTTTTTATGTATGTACATTTATAACACTATTCTTTGTATTATATCACCTTTGCATCAAATTACAAAAAAACAGTTAACGCTAATGCGAGGGTGTTTCTAATGCAGCGTCTATGGGAGGGACGGTAAATTTGACATCCTTCTCTCTTCTGACAGCCGTTATCAGTCTCAATGCAAAAAAATATATTTGTGGTACTCTCCCATTCACTGCTATTCAAGTTAACCCAACTATGACGACTTCCGCTGCTGAGAAACACGGAAATGTGAAAAAGGTCCATCTAAACAAAAACAACAGGGCAAAACACAGGCAAAAAGACAGGGAAACAAAACCAGGAACCAAGACACAGGAGAACCAGGAAACAAGGCTTAGAATTGCAGTACAGACACATACAAGACTTAGCAATGAATGACAAAGAGAACCAGGCTTTTATAGGGTGAGCTAACAAGACACAGGTGCAAACAATGAGTGCTGATGAGTGTGCAAAGGATTATGGGGAATGCAGTCCAGGATAGAGTGGCAAAGGTATGGGATGGATGATGGAGTGCCCTCTGGTGGTTATCAAGGGCACTCCAGCTAGTGATTGTGACACACTTGAATGGAGGCCTCATATACAGGTGCATCTCAATAAATTAGAATGTCGTGGAAAAGTTGCATTTAATTTATTTAATACACGAGTTTCACAATTTGAGTTGAATTACTGAAATAAATGAACTTTTCCATGACATTCTAATTTATTGAGATGCACCTGTATATATATATATATATATATATATATCAGATATATTCTAGAAGAAGTTTTATTCTACATGGGGCATGGACCCCTTCACAGGCGGCGCCATATTGACTTGAAATGAGCAGCTGTGTCAGCTGAGAAAACTGAGGGGGAAAAAAGCACTAAATCAAAAATATACCTTTTTTTCTCCACAGAAGAAAGTCGGGTGTAAAACGACAATAGGATGTGTAAATGATGACAGATTTTTCTTTTTTTCTTTTTTGGGTGAACAGATTTTCAACACAAATAGTTCAGTCAACAATCTTTTACATGCTTTGTTTGAGCTGCCCGATCTATGAAATGAATTTTTTTTTAACAAACATCACGCAAATACCCTTGTTTTGAGAGCACTTCTGATTACCAGTCTGAATAGCAGTATGAGTCTCAGCAGTAAGGACACAGAGACCGTGATGACAGATTTTTGTCCCCATAAACCATCTCTCTTTGCAGGCAGCCATCTGGCTTAGTTTCCACAAACACCTCCAGCCATTCAGCTGAGAGAGAAATGTATGAGGAAAGGGATATTTGGGAAGTGAGAGAAACAGGGAATGACTTATTAAGGGTCAGTATTAGAGAGCCAGGCCACTGTGTGCTGTATAAATATCTCAGTAAAATGTAAACCAGCCTTTATATTTGAGGGGAAATGTGTACTAACATGAAGGGCGAGTACTAAGATCACATTGAACTAAAGTTCAAACATGGGTTTCTAAAAGTGACACCATTAGGAGCTGGGTATTCAAAAAGGGAAATGTCAACAAACATGCAAAATATAGGTACAGGAAACATACAAAGACACACACATATGCTTGAGGGTTTAAACAGGTCCACGGCCTGAATTCTGGTCCTGGATTCAAAAACAAGTGACAATAAGTCTTAATGTCGATGTAAATATCCCTCTCTGTCACATCATTGCC